CCAGCCTCAGCGCCACTGATGGCAACCCTCTGAGTTCTACCATTCAGCCAGTTCTCAATCTACCTCACCGACCACTCATCCAGCCCACACTTCCTGAGCTTCCCTAGGAGGATGTTATGGGAGACTGTGTCGAAAGCCTTGCTGAAGTCCAGGTAGACAACATCCACAGCTCTCCCTTTGTCTACCCAGCCGGTCATGTCATCGTAGAAAGCTATCAGATTGGTCAGGCATGATTTCCCCTTGGTGAATCCATGCTGACTACTCCTGATAACCTTCTTTTCCTCCACTTGCTTGATGATGGCCTCCAGGATAAGCTGCTCCATCACCTTTCCCGGGATGGAGGTGAGGCTGACTGGCCTGTAGTTCCCTGGGTCCTCCTTCTTGCCCTTTTTGAAGATTGGAGCTACATTGGCCTTTCTCCAGTCCTCGGGCACCTCTCCTGTCCTCCAGGGCCTTTCAAAGATGATGGAGAGTGGCTCAGCAATGACATCCGCCAGCTCCCTCAGCACTCGTGGGTGCATTCCATTGGGGCCCATGGATTTGTGGACATCCAGATCACTTAAGCGATCCCTCACACAGTCCTGAGACAGTGAGTTCTCCAGTGAAATTACTCAGTATGTAAAGAATACTTGTTTAAAAGATCTGCCGGACTTCATTTGGTGCCCTGAAGCTCTTATTTTTTAAGACATAACGAAATTTCCCCCTTTCCATCTTATTTATGCTGGACATCATTGAACAGACCTTCATCATGTCATCTGTCAAAGCGTCGAAGTCTGTTTAAATCTCTTCTTGATTGGAAGTCGTGCTGTAGCTTTGCAATTAGCCTTTCTTCTCCCCAAATTTTCCTTTTCTAAGCTGGAGGAGATCAGAACCGCTGTCATCACACAAAATTTGGGTGCCCGGGGGATTTAGAGTGGCAGTTGCTTGCTCTCTGCTTCTGAATTCCTCTCCTCTTTTTATTATGTACTGGGGGTATGAGAATTCAGGCTGTGACAACTTCAAATTTTCTTTCCGAAGTAAGGATACCTGACAGCTTGTTACTCTGTGTGTGAAATTGTTTTTCTCACATGTTTCTTCTTTGCACTTATGGACACTTATTTTCCCATGCATTCAGCTTTACAAGGTATTTTTTCACCTCGGGAGCTCCTCACCAAAAACTCATTATTCCGACTGTAATCCCTTTCTGTCAGTTGGTGGTTGACAAGAGGATCTTCTTCCTTATGCAACAGTAATTTTGAGCTTTTAGCAGAGTAATTTTTGAAAGGCTTTTTGGAAACTCTTGAATGTTATTCCTGTTGGATCATTTTTATTTCCCTGCTGCTTAGCTCCTTCAGAGCCTGCTGTAAGATATGACTTCAGCCTGTGTACGCAAAACTAATTAACCCTGTATTATGTTTGTATATTTATTAATCTGTTACGGAAATGAGACTTGTAGCCCCTAGTTCTCTTTGGCCTTCTAAAAACCTCTCTCATTCCCTGAGTACTCGGGCCCATTTAAGCCAAGCCACACACCAGAGCAAACATTGCAGGCTTTACTGGTTCAGCTGAAACAACCCTGCTTCTGAAAACCACTGCTGCTTCTGCCCCCCCTCCAGCTGTGGAGCAGCGTTAGCTGGGGATCTTCAGTGGAAGGTTTGCACCGCTTGTGCTGTCCCGTCGCTGACAGGTGACGTGAAAGCGCATGGAAGTGTTCCTGGGGGGGAAGTTCAGAGGTGCCGACAGCGCAGTAGCTCGCCAGTGCAGTGGTGAAGTTGAATTCAGTGCTAACACCAGGAGCAAAAGGCTAATTTGGAGCCTGTCCTGCCCGCTGTGGTTAAATATCTGAGAACTAAAGAATTTCAGTAATCTCATTTCAAAGGTCTTCAAACTGTCAAAATGTTGCAGAGAAAGGGTCAGAAGTGCAAGTTAAAAAGGTCCTGTGAGAACCCAGCCTGCTGGAGGGTGCTGACTACCCAGCAGAGTCCTTCAGAGAACACTGTTCAGAAACCGGTTTCAGCACTTTTATTGTTACAAGAAGGTTAGCTGAGTTTTGCCCGACTGGTCCTTGTGAAAGCGACGGATGCAGGTGGAGCTGCACGCGTGATGCCTTTGCGTTCAAATCGCGGACCTGATACTAATGGATTGTTGGAGTTCCAGGAGGCAAAAGATTCTGGAGAAAATAAAGAACATCTGTCTCCCTACTAGCAAGTTCCCTGCTAAGCCATCTTAAAAAGCCATCTGACATGTACTTCACATCTGAATCCTGATAGAGGGGATTGTAAGAAATGTGAAACTATAACAAAAAAGCCTTAATATTTTCTAGTTTTTAGTAGTCTTTAGTACTGTAACTTGTATTTCTGCATGCATAGTGATCTAACGATGTAACTGTTACACTAATCCCTGTTTTCTCATTAAGCAATGTAGTGGAAGGACATGGGCACAAGCTATCACTTAGTCGTCAGACAAAATAATGAAGTGAAACAAAAGTGGTCTTGGTTCTCAGCAAATAATTGGGATAATTATGGGATAAAAGAGACTCCTAAATAATTCTACTCCAGACAGCTCGGCCTTGGGAAGGCAGATGCGCTGGGCTACAGAGATAAAGAGGCACCCAGAGAGCAACAAGACCAGAGCCAAACCACCTGAAGGACATGATATACGTGATCCTGGAACTGAGTTTGCTCAGAGACGAATGTCAATCAGTGAACAGCGTAATGAAGCGGATGGGCCTTCATCTTGGGACCCCCGAAGACCACCCAAAGATGCTAACAGACACAGTGTACATTGTGCTGTTAGGTTTTTCCTACCGGACCTTCGAATCAATCCCTTCAGTTGCAAGGGTTGAATAGTGAAGAGGGACAGATGCTGCTGTGTTCTCATTGCTGTTTGAGTGCTGGGGAGTAGCATCAGGGAAGGAAGAATGCACGTTTTCAGCAAAGTATTCTCTGCAAGTGATTCCACGCTGTGGAAAGTGGGAGAGTTCCTGTTGTCTGCCTTAGGAGTGGAGAAGGGAATGGCAGTAAAGGCTAACTAAACATAATCTGTAGAAATCACCTTTAAGCATGCGTTACAGTGTCAGGGTTCAAACGACATGTGAAGAGAAGGCTATACATCTTAAAGTGAGCAAAGCAGCGAGTTCTACCTCAACTGAAAACCCCTGTTGCTGTGGTAGAGTCTCACATCACAACTTCTGAATTGAAAAGTTACTTTTTTTTTTTTTTTTTTGCAGGACAAGTCCTGCTGCCGTGGTGGGTGTGGTACCGGGCAGCCAGCCAGCAGGTTTCTTGAAGCACTCGAGGGGGGAGGAAAAAAGCACTTATGGAATTAACTGCAAGGAAGCAGATGGTGACAAGGCAGGATGGTCAGGATGCTGACGCTGAGCTGACAGCAACCGCACAGCAACTTCAGCCCAGAGGCAGCAGTTCCTCCGCCTCCACTGGTGTTTCTGACAGCAACGAGCATGGCATGGTGACATGGGCTTTCTTCCCAGGACCCAAACTGATCACACAGGGCACCAGAGGATTCCTGCGACCTGGAGCCAATCACCATCGCTTCCTCAGAATAGGACAGAGCGAGTTCAAACATTTTCTTCAGGAGTCTGCTCACCTTCTCTGAACAAAACATCTCTCAAACATCTTCTCTGAAGATGAACAGACTCCTGAAGAAAACGTTTAAACTCTGGTCTTTATGAGTGGATGTAGTTAAATAGGAGGGATGTGGACTGTTACAGGCGTATTGCTGCGCGATTCTCTCCAGCCCACAGCTGATTGTGTATTTACTTTCTCTCATGTTAGCATGCAGAAGCGCTGTGACAGAAACCTCACCCACACAGCTACAGCCCAGTGGCTCTTCCTACCACATTCATACAAAACCCCACCTGCTTGGTTGGTCACAGATCTGCAGTATAAAACCTCCTTCTGTTGGAAGGAGGGGTCTCGTTCCTAAATATCACTGAGCACACCAAGAGCCAAACCATAACGTGGCAGGAGTTCTTACTAGTTCATAGGGGGTGAGCACTTCAGCAGTTTTCGTGCTTGACTTTCCTTTGGTTTAAAGATATAGCTGAGGTTTTTTTGAACCTAGCTACATTATCCCAGCATGACTCTCTTACAAAGGCAATAGAGGAGTTATCTTTCATCTCTCCCCCCCTTTTCCTTCCCCTACACACTGGAGCAAATCCAGGCCATCAGCACTGGAAGCCTGCACGTGGCTGTGAGGAGTTCCAGACTATTCTGTTGCCTCCCATACCCTCCCTCCACACCCAATTGTTCGTTCCAATTCTTACACTACGTAGAAGAGAGATGAAGTCAGAATGAAATTCAGTCTCCGCTTTGACAGCCTGGCCTCCCTTCCACTTCAGAAGTTCACATGAAAACATCAGCGTGCCAGCTCAATGGCAGCAGAGGCATACACTGTCGGTACTAAGTGATGTTAAAGGTGAAGTAGACATTGGGTGAGAGTCGTTATTGTGTAGAAAACAAGCTCATTAGGTATGCAGGCCACCGGCAGAACAGTAATGAACACAAATACACTTCCATGCATGTTTAAGGCAGTGAGTATTAAAGCCTGGCAAACAGGGGAAGGTGCTGCAGATCCTGTAGGATCTCCTTTCCCCACCCCAACATTTTACACACAGACGTGACAGTGAGCGGCTGTGTCACATGGGCAGCAGCGATGAGAAACTGTAAAGGCCAGGAGTGAGGCGCCTCGTCCAGGTGTCTGCCACAGCCACGTAGACACAAAGATGCACCACGCCAGCATTTGTCATCGCGATACCGATCTTAACGCTGTGTCCTTTGTTGCCAGGTGTGCAGCTAACTTCTCTCGAAAGTCATGGAGGTAATTGTACTGCTGAAAAAGCACAACCGGATTTGTCATGAGTGCTCTGTACTTTCAGAAAAGGCACTACCCATCTTAAAAAGCTGTGTGGTACCCCAGCACGAAAACTGCACCCTCTAGTCTGTTTATTTGTTCTTCTTGTGCTTATTCCAAATGCTCTGGAATTTTGCACCATCAGAGGCAGATTACATGGATCCTGGCTTGGCTCCTGTGGTTCCTCATAAAGGGCACATGTGAGCGCAAGGGAACGCAAAACATGGTCCTCGGTAGGCAGGAGTTTCATGCCAGAATTCAAAACTGCTGTATTTGGGTCACCAGGAGCATTACTCTCTCCATAGAGAGTCCATGATGCAGAACATAGCCTTTAGCTAGCATGGTGATGTACAACAGTTTATAGTAAGAGTTTTTAGGTCAACTTGTACATCATGTGGAATATTAACACCCAAGTCCTCAAAATGAGGTAAAAATGTTGGTCAGCAGAGGCTAAAGGACAGATCACCCACCCCAAGTGGCTGTGAGGGCTTCCAGTTACATCATTTATTCATACCCTTCCCTGTCTCTTCAACCAGGAACGCAAGATGCTCCTCACCTGCCCTCTCAGTTTGTAGAAAACTCATTTTCAACAAGTAGTTTAAATAAGCTTTGCCTCTAGAGAGGCTTAGAGCTAGCAGAGACAGTATTTAGGGAACTATTTCTCCTCAGAAGCTACTATTGTGTAAACTTCTAAATGTCAGCTCCTCTTTCCTGTACATCGAACTGTTTTAAGAGCATCACCTAGGACTTGTATCAACACAAATACGTACACAGAGTAGCTAAAAATCTCACCAAAAGAAGAAAAACCCGTTATGTTCAGCAGCTTAGGCCTCTCTCCATGCGGTTTTTAACACTAGTGCTAGGGATACATCCCAAAAGATGACTGCCAGTCTACTGATGTGATAGCTACAGAAGACAAACACAGCTAGCTTGGTTACAAAGATGGACCAAAACCAAGGCAGAAAAGTCAAGCAGATGTCCAAGTTTTGAGGAGAATGTGAGCAACAGAAAACGGGACAACAGCTTAGTGAGTTATGAGCAGGGATAAGGAGGAGAAAGCCACAAGTTGCTAAGGATGGTGAAGAGCAGGCAGGGAGAGCAGCTGTTGAATTCAGCAGAGGCAGAACAAGTTCTGCTCCTAACCCAAGAGATCCCAAGCATCTCGGAAAGACAGAGGGACCCCTTTGTGAAACGAGGGAGAGGACTGTGCGAGCTCTCCGCTCTGGTTTTGACACGCGTATTACCTGCTGTAGCCTCATTACCTTGATGGTCTGTATCGCCCCGGATCCTCTCAAGCTTCTGAGGCTGTCTATGACTTGCTGAGGTACCAGCGTGTCGGAAAGCTGAAGCAGGAGACACGCAGCTACTGTAAGGGAAAGGTATATACACATGGATGCTACTGAGCACCTCCTGCTGTGCACAGCACCACTTCTGCACAGCAAGAAGTTTGTTCTATGAAAACCACTTGAGCAAAACTCAACTTCATGGTATTGGGGTCACAGATCTGTTGGATCTTTTGCTGAATACTGTTTCTTGGCCCTGGCCCAATCTGCCTGCTGTTCCTGCCCAAGCCTGCCACAGCACCACTTCTGCACAGCAAGAAGTTTGTTCTATGAAAACCACTTGAGCAAAACTCAACTTCATGGTATTGGGGTCACAGATCTGTTGGATCTTTTGCTGAATACTGTTTCTTGGCCCTGGCCCAATCTGCCTGCTGTTCCTGCCCAAGCCTGGAGGCTTTGGAAACAGGTGAAAACCCTCCCAATGTTTTCCCCCTGCCTTTACAGCAGCCTTTGGGAGGCAAATTCTAGGCTTTTCTAGAATGAGTCCCCGTACACCCCGTTAATTCCACTTTGTGTCCTATAACCACATTTGCTGTTTTGGCAATATCCCCATGCCTTCCTTCTGGGGCACACATGATAACTAAAGCCCCTGAAAGCTTTAGGGGGAACAGGGGGCTGAAGAAAGCTGCCGAGGAATAGGTTCATCTCCTTTTCTTGATGATATGTTTAGGGAAGAGGGCAAAGTGCAATCCCATCGGTCAGAAGAGACCAAGTTTTGCAGTGAAAACAGAGAAAGGCAGCAAGTAAGAGAGAACTTTATCAGCCTCACTGACTGATCCTGCCTGACTCTCCATCATCTCACCTGCTCAGGTCCATACCATGACATACATATGTCACTCATCACAAACAGCTTCTATACAGGCAGGTAATGTTATTACCATTTGACAACACCTTTCCCAAGGCATGGGCACAAACGTATTACCCAGCCTGCTGCCTGCAGTAGCAGTCTGCATTGTAACCACAGTTAAGCTTCAAGCAGAATTTGGCTCCCTTAGATGGTGCTGTCTCAGGAGAACGGGTTTGTAAGATGGGTTAGTTAGTCAGGCACTGAGAGGGAGAAGGCAGCTGCTTACTGAGACATGAGCGTCCGAGGCCACCGTAACAGCTGAAAGAGAAGAGAATATTTGGCTGTAACGAGCTGTAGTACACTGCAACATCAAGAGCCCCCTCAATATGTAAATGTACAGACACAATTCTTTCCTTAATGTAATCAAAAGGAGCTGCGGTACAAGAAAGTCAGAATAAGAATGTCTATAGAAATACCTGCGAGGCTATCTGCCATTTATTCCTCAGACCTTCCTAAAGAAACTGCAATTGTAAAGTTCCCCTTCATTCATGGTAGTAGTCCCAAAGGCATGGGAAGACAGAAAACAGCATCAGGATGGACAATCTCAATTTTCTTTAAATCCTACTCCAGATTCAGGCTTCGGTGACAGTTGTGAGCTAGCAACTCACAACAACAGCCTGAAGACTCAGCGGGTGTCTGTGCTGTCAGCAGGATCATTCAGGGAGCACAGCACTTGGAAAAGCTCTTCCCCTCTACCCTGCGCTCAGCCACAATTGTCTAAAGCAGTTAAACCACTTTCATGCAATTTAAGAGTGAACTTTGCACTGCTGAAACCCACTGAGTCCCTGATAAACAGCCCCAGGGTGTGTTATCCTCTGACAGCAGCTGTTTTAGCTTACAACTCATGTTGTATACCTGATATCCAGCTAGGCTAGCAGCAAGGAGTCATACAGTGCCATTCCACACACGCTCTGAAGCACTTGCTGGACAGAGTAAGTGGAAATGGGACGTTCGAATCTTACAAAGCACAAGCTAGCTCCAGAAGGGTGCATGAAGAGAAACCAGCAGCTTTTCACAGCTTGAATTAACTCTAAAGAATGCAATTGTCATTTGACAGGATTTTGTTTCAGCTGGTCATGCATCTAGAGGGAAGCTGGTATCTTTTACAGGAATGTGGGGTGAAAGGGAGGCAACCAGAACCTACTGTATGATCATTTTCCGGTTACTTTCCAGGCAGCTTCTGAGGTCTTCTAGAATTTTGCAGCACTTGGCAATGTCAGGAACGTCCCCATCAAGAATAGGATAGTGGTGCACACAGATCCCGAGCTGTTGGTAGGTGTCTATAAGGTTTGGTACTCGGTATTTTAAGAGCTCTCCTCTGGTACAAAGCACAAATACATCCTGGATCCCACAGCTCTTCAGTTGTTCTGCCAACAGATTAAGATACTTGCAAATAAACAAAAGCCTATCATGCTTGAGGATAAACAGATAAGCTACTTGGTACTGATTCTCTTATTAATCTTTGAGGCTAAGACAATAGGAGTTAGCAGCTTTGCTTTGAGCAGCAATTACTTCTACCGAGTCCTTCCCACATTTGCCTTCAGGTAACCCATGAGAGGAACTTTCTTGGTTCAGAGCGAGTCTTGAGACAAGCCTCACTCGACAACACATCAGCACTCAGAACAGTCTGTTAACTGCTGACAGCTTAAGCATGATTCTGTCCCATCTCCAGCTGTGACTATGTCCAAACACTGTGGGTTTTTGCTATTAGTCTCTGCTCTTTTAGTGTTTACAGGTGAATATTACTCAGCACAAACCTTTACATAATTTCATCTTTTCTATCCCAATGTCATTTTTCTCTGGGAAGAGGAGATGACAAGTTTGTAATTCATCTTGGTCCTAGCTGTTTTGAAGATGCCTTTGCCTGCATGGGACTTCGCAGAGCTCATGGTTACTGTGAAAGATACACAGCTGGCTGTATAGCTCCAGCCTGGAAATACCCTGGCTACTTATCCAATATTTGGTAGAGAAGCCACAGAGAAAGTGGCACTACACACTTCAAAGTGATATCTAGTACTCACAACGGTGACTGTGCCAAGATATTTGCTGCAACTCCAAGCACAGTGTCACCAAAACTCAGATAGACATTGCTGTCAGACATACCCCCAGCGAGGCTTTGCAAAGAACTGCCTTGCTTTCTAACATTGTGGTGCATACATGGACAACTTACATCCATTGTAAAAGTATGATTAAAACACCGTTTTAGATAGTCAGTGTCTGGATAAACAGCAACCCCAGCAGACTCCAGACTAAGACAAGGTAAGCCTTTAGTCCCTTAGAAACCTATGCTTTCAGTTTACCTGTATGCTGTACTTGCCCATTACATGGAAATCAGAGGCACTTGTGCGCTGGCCAGAAGACTCACCTATATCTTTCTGCAGGTTTCTTCTAACATCCTTAAATCTGCAACCTAAAATAAATTATGAATGACAATTACCACTCCAGGTAAGTGACATTTATGCAATGGCTGCTACAGCTGAAGAATAGAGCACAGACAACCTCCCCCCAAAACCAAGGCAAACAACAAAGCCGCACCTCAAGTAATACAGTTCTTATTTTGCAAATAGATCACTAGCACAGAAGAGAGTTTAAACACCGTTATCTACTTAATGCTGTAATGTAATGGGATTTAAAAGAAAACTGCCCAAGGTTTTAAGCTGCTGTGTATTTTCCAGATGAAAAGTTTTGAATGTTGTAAATGAGGGCACCACTTAAAAAAAAAAACCCACAAAACACAAACGAGCACAAATCACATTAAAAATCCTCCTTACTAGTCAATCTTCAGCTTACTGCCCCTTCCATTTTTTCCTCACATCACACTACCAAGGTATTTTTGCAGCCCCCACAGAACACTGCACTGTGATATTCACAGCTGTTGTTTTATTTGTGAGATGTAATTGCTCAAATATTTGCACCATGTCCTCCATCCTCCCTCTGTCTCCCCTCCTTCACTTACAGCCCCATAGGTACACAATCTTTACGCCTGCCCCGACAGCAGCCAGGATTGTGCATATCTCGAAACACCTTCTTGAATGCAAGAGAGCAGAATCCTGCCAGCCAAGAGCTGTATCAGCAGGGCTGTGGCTAGAGGTAAGCATCTGCAGATTAAACAGCTACTACATGAACAGCTCAGGTAGCTAAAAAATACAATGCAGATGTTTTTTTGACATATATGTTAACTGGCATTCAGGTGTTACTGAGGTTCTCATCAGCACTAGCCATAACCCACTTCAAGATACCTTAAATTATTCAACGCTTGTTTCCAAGTTCTTTAGTGTGCTGTTAGTGCCAAGCTTGTACTTCTCAGAGTTGGCTAATGGAAGTCAAGTAACTGCTTTAAATGAAGTGGGGAAAGTTCACACTGTCACCACGAGCAGTTCTCTCTTTTGTGACCACAGGACATTCACAGTGGCTGCAGTTTTGGTAGTTAAAATACAGTGAAAGCTTATATGTTTATTTTTATATTATGGCCATGGTAAGCAAATGGTAGTGCAACCCAGATGCTAAGGGAGAGCAGTACAGAACTGTGAGCACAGCGAGTGAGTGTAATTTGACCCCAGTATATCTTATAAAGGAATTATTTGTCAGAGCAGTCTTGTTTCTCTTATGTTGTTGCTTGTTATAACTAGTGAGTCAGGGTAAAAAGCCAAATATTATAAATGACAGTGGAAGACAGCCACTGTTCTCTAACCACTCTGCCAGATGGTCTTGCATTAAGATATTGTCTCAATTAGCCTTGGTATTTCCAAAACAATTACTCCAATGCTAGATTACAAAAGAAGTCACCCCACCGAGTAAACGCAACAGAGAATTTTGGGGTGCAAGCTTCAAACGTGCCTGCAAATTTCAGTGAATGCTTCTTACCTGGAAGGGAACATAGTCCCAGGAATACAGAAGAGTAGACAGGAGACAAAGGCAGCCTTTTGGGAAATAAAAACATTAATGAATAAACCCATAACTTGTTGATTATTTGACTAGAGGTAACTCACTATCAAGAGATAACTCACTACCAGACGTTCCTTTTCTGTGGGACCATAAGAAGAGCTGGGCTAGATGACCTCTAAAGGTCCCTTCCAACCCAAAGTATTCTATGATTCTAAGAGTTATCCACCTATAATTTAATTTTGATAAGAAAATGGATATATTCCAGTGTTTTTTCTATGGCATCACACAAAGAAATCACACGTTTGGAGGTGTACTTCCTTCATCACACACCCCGGGCCAAGAGGGGGAGAGAAAGCACTGCCAAATCCTCTCCTTAGCACCGAGACGCTCAGGCTCCAGCTGAAGATGAGGAAGAACTTCTTACCTCTGAGGGTGACGGAGCCCTGGCCCATGTTGCCGAGGGAGGCTGTGAAGTCTCCTTCTCTGGAGATATTCAAGACCTGCCTGGATGCGGTGCTGTGCAGCCTGCTCTGGGTGACCCTGCTTGGGCAGGGGGTTGGGCTGGGTGACCCACAGAGG